ATATATAAATCGGCTTTTGTGCTCTGACATGTTGTGATCATCCTTTAATCTCAGAATTTTCCACATATCCTCCTTCTTTACATCCATGAATCTTCTCCATGATCTTCTTTCATATCACCTCCATATTCAGCATCCCCTTTTTGTTTAATTTATGGGCTGGTCTATGGCAGCGACACCAGCCTGGGTGCTGTAACTCTGTTATAACTTTAGCCAAGACTAGTCATCCTGTGACCAGTCTTACAGATGGTGGATTTTAGATGAATTAACACTTGTTTGACAGATTTTGATGCACTTAAAGTAGGCGACAGCAGTAGGTTGTCATCAATTCTAGTCACCGTTTCTCTTTTTTCTGTCTCGCCTTTCCTGGTGCACATGGACTGTGAATAAAGTCTATACGGGTCTGTGCCCCTACCCACCGACATGCACAGTGACAGCGGAGGATATAAAAAAACCCTTAAGTGACTGTAAAGTGCAGTACAGGCTCTCACACTAATTCTGACTTCAGTCAAAGGGCATTGTTTCTTTTCTAAGGTCAGAACATAAATCAATTTTTGCAACAGCAACAGCAGACCAGCACAGCACAGTCATTAAAAATTAAAAATCAAAATCAAATCAAAGTAAAGTTTCCTGTTGATATATTGATAAAACCTACAACCTTTAAAAATATTATCTCAAGTCAGACCTGAGGGGTCATCAGATCATTAACAAACAATTAATCTATCTGTATCAGCATTTGTAATGGCCCATAAGTTAAAAGCTGAAGTTTTGGCTACGCAGCCAAATGTTTGGAAACATCAACCAGCTGATCCGAGCAAAGTTGGGCTTCGAAATTTAAATGTCAGTGAAATTTGTGCCTAGCATCAAAAAATATCCTCCGATATGAAGGAATATCTAATGTTTAGATTGCCCAATATTGGTATCAGTATCTGTATTAAAAATCCCATATGAGTTTTATTCTCTCTTTTTATTTTCTATCCAGTTTTTCTAGTTACAACAAGTATACAACTAATCGGGATTTACCAAAAAATCCATTCAAAAGGTCAGTTTGATTCCCCAACGAAATTAACCACCACGTAACATCTAGCAGTGTACCAGTGAGATGATAGAGATGTACTAATTGAATTTTTTCAAACACTGTGTGACAGTTTCTATCCTCTTTGTATTTCACGGAACAAACGCCACATGTTCAGCCTGTTTCACCAGCTGCTTACGGTTTATCATTTAGGTCCATTTTCAATCTCGCTGAATAAGCTAATTCTGTTTTTGCTTGTCAGGTAAACACAGTCATCCTCTCTTCAGATTTTATTTGCAAAACGCCGCCACACATTTACCTGTTTGGAAGAGCAGGCCGTGCCGTCTCACATACCCTGCTGACGAGACTGTAATCCTAATTGTGTTACAGTGGCTTTCACAGTTGAAGCAGTCCATTAATCATGGTCTTTAGACAAAAGTTTTATCTCTGCTACCTGCAATGCTACGTTAGTGCAAAGAGAAAAAAGAGAGCGGTAGTTTAGAAGCTGTGGTGTGCTGGTGAGCTCGGGGGATTGGCTCTGTATTTCAGATGCTCCTCTGTGATGTAATCCTTCCTTTTTTTCTAAAGGCCTACATGAGGATGTGGGTCTCCCACTCCTCAGTTGGAGCTCATGTGAACTGACTACAAATTACAATACCGTCTTCTGTGAACCTGACAGTGCAGAGAAATAGAAAGGACTTGACTTTAGCAGTATATCTGTGAGGAGAGGATTTTAGTGCACTCATCAGCCCTGTTGTTGTATAGACTTGATATTTACGGACAGATCGTAGCAGCAGTGGAAGGATTTATCTCTTAACTCACAAAGTGTCATTTTGCACGTTCATCTTTTAAATTCAAGCTTGTAGTTTGAGACCCTCTGGCTGCTCTTGGGTAATGTTAAGTCAGTTTAGATGTAAGTATAAAAAGGATGGATTAACTCTGTTTGTGCCAAATTCTAAAGAAACCAAGTAAAAGTTCTGTGCAGGCACTAGAAAGTGATACTAAATCATTCTGGAAGTGCAGCGCTTAACTGTTTAATCCACTCGCTGCTGGGTGTATTAATATCCGCTGCTGCAACACTTTATTTGGCAGCTTTGCAGAGGTTTGACGTATCTTAAAAATCACTGCGGGTTACAGTACACAAGTACACAAGTGCAGGAATAATGCGTGAACAGTCACCGGTTTGGCTTTAAGGTGGTGTAACCAGTGTCTGTAATGAAACGCCGATAAATTGGTTGTCGCAGAATTAGTGTTGTGTCCACAGAGGAGGTTTGAGCAGTGTGTTCTTAGTGCAGACTCAGCTCTCTGGAGCTGATTCATAGCAGCGCTGCTCTACAGTATCCAGCAGGACACCCTGGCAAATATGCTACCTGCCACTCTTCACTTATTGCTGCTTCATCACTTTTCACTGAGCCAGATGCGCTCAGGGTAAACGGTACAACTCTGTAGTAATTATAACAATAGCAGTCCGGTGTGGGTGGAGTCACTCAAGTTGAGGGTGAAACAGAAAATTCTTGTCGTCACAGCAGAGCAACGCAAGGTCTGACTCAGCAGACGATGTAGTAACACGACAGAGCAGGACCACTATGCAGTATTCTGATACTGATACATAATGTCATGGTTTGGTTCCTCTGTTGCATTACTGACTCATGCCAATAGCTTTTGGACCGTCAGCTTTTATTCAAGGGTATTTTCATTTAGCTTCTTGTGCGTAGTTACAGCGCCTGAAAAACATGAATAGTGGATGACTAAGCCTCATGCAGAAGCACTTAAAGATTAATCATTTCTTCAACATAGCAGACTGCCAGACTGACTGTTAATCATACGTCTCCAGATTTAGTGGTTTTTTTCTCAGTATTTTCTGTTAAAACTTGACTGGTTAGAATTCCTCACACAATCAAGGTATCGCTTTTAGCAGCAATAATTTGAAGTAAACATTTTCTGCGTGACTTTATCAGTCTCTTACCTTGTTGTGGAGGACTCTTGGCCCACTGTTGCTTCAGTTCATTGAGGTTTGTGGGCATTTATGCTCAGCTCTGTTAAGGCCCCAACACAGCATTTCAATCACACTGAGGTCTGGACTTTGACTGGACCATTGCAGCACCTTGATTCTTTTCTTTTTCTGCTGTTTGCTGTTGTGCTTGGGATCAATGTCCAAGTGCATGACCCATTTGACCGTAGAATACTTTGGTATACAGAGGAGTTCATGGTCGACACAACAACCACAAGGTTTCCAAGTCCTGTGGCTGCAAAACAAGCTCAAATCACCACCCCTCTACCCCCGTGCTTGACAGCTGGTTTGAGGTGTTTGTGCTGATATGTGCTTGGTTACTACTAAACATGGTGCTGTGCATTATATCCAAACATCTCCACTTATCTGTCCAAAGGACATTGTTACAGAAGTCTGGTCGTTTGTTTAGATGCAACTTTGCACACCTAAGCTGTGGGTAGGGGTGCAACAATACTCGTATCGTATTGAACTGTTCGATACAGTGCTTTCGTATATGTATCGAACAATACAACATTTTAAGTTTATTTTATCAACTTTTCTTCTGACGATGCTGTCTGTGTTGAGAGCTAGGTGGATCTGCGTTCGACTACTCCGCCTAGGCTGCACTGTCGAGCGCAGATCCACTGAGCCCAGCGCAAGCTAGCAAGACAGAAGCGAAGCTCGTTGCAACATGGCAAATTAAACCTCCCCCACCCTTATTCAGATCTGGCCTTTGGAACTATTTTGGTCTTCATGTGAAGTATGACCCTGAAGGTAAGCGCGTCATGGACAAAAGTAAAACAGTATGTCGGATGTGCCAAGCAATGCTCAATTACATGGGTGGGAACTAGTGCGTTAGCGCAGTTTGCTCGTTAACGTGTTGATGCCGTCCAGCCCCATGCATGGGGTGATCGGCGGTAACTCGTTGACGGAGATTTGCGGCGTTATGGCGTTAATGTCATTTTAACGAGATTAACGCTGACAGCACTAGTGGGAACACAACGAATATGACTGCACATTTACTCCGACATCATCCTAGTGCAAAGACAAGTGGAAGCAGACAAAAACAACAAGCACGCAGGCTACAAACTTTACCCGAGTCATTTAGACAGCCGTTAGCACATGATTCTCCTTATGGGGACCTGATATATTTAATATGCTGCTGAGAGTATAGCCCAGAAGAAGCTTATAGTATAGCTTTCCTTTTGGAAAGAGCCATTTCTCTGTAATAAACTCTCTTTTCCAAAGATGAGTGATTTCTCAATCAGATAGATTTATTTATTTTTTATTATTTTGTTGTTTCAGCAACATTACATTTAAAAACTGTACTTTTGAGTTAAAATATATATAATTATAATTTTAATAAATGACAAATTAAAAAGGAATGAACATTTTTTTTGTATCGAAAAAATATCGAACCGTGACACCAAAGTATCCAACCGAACCATGAATTATGTGTATCGTTGCACCCCTAGCCTAGCTGTGGGGTCACGTTCTTTTTGTAACAAAGAGGCTTTCTCTCCAAACAAGCCATATTTGTTCAGTCCTTTTCTGATTGTAGCATAAACCTCAACATTTAACTAACTCAGACCTGAAAATTTTGAGATGTAGCTCCCAGAGTCTTTTTTGAGGTTTCTCTGAGCATTGCATGGTCTGACTTTGGGGTGAATTTGCTAGGATGTCCGCTCCTAGGAAGACTAACAGCTGCCTTGAATATTTCCACTTGTGAATAAACTTTCTCACTGTAGAATGAAGGATTTAAATTGATTGCTAGCAATAGTTGCTTCTCTAAGATCGCTGCTGATGTCGTTCCTCTTTGGCATTGTGTTAATACAACGTCTTAATTCCTTTGGAAGCGATAAAGGTGTAGTTAGTTTTTCACACACATCTTCTACATTTTAGCTCAATTTTAGTTAAATAAATAATGTCATGGTGTAATATGTCATGCTTTGTAATTCACCTGAGGTTTCATTCAACTAAATCTAAGACCAGATGTTTTTTTTTTATCATATCATTATCATACATCAATTGCATGGCTGTTATCTGAGTCATTACAAATTTGCCTGAGTTATTCATCACATGCATCAGTCACAGCAACATTTATTTCTGTCCCCATTTTCCCTTCATGTTTAAGTCCATACGGAAACACATACCCAGAAGCTGAACCCCCAGAGTGTCCACAAGTAATGCTGAGAACGGAGGAAGATGAAAGAAGACTTTTCTGAGTACATTAAATACATTTCTGCCTGTTGTCACTATGAAATACCAAACAGCTTTTTTCTTCGATTTAGTCATTCAATATGTCCTGTTGTATCCCATTTCTTTGCTTTACTGAGATATTTGTCAGATGTAACCAGACAAAACACCTGAGGACCAAACAGGTTGTTTAATTTCTTAATGGGGACAGTTGAATATTTAACTTTAATGCCTTGCCGCAGATCTTAATTTGCAATTAAATATTAAATCATTCTTCTAGTAGGGTAGCATTGGTCCCACGTGTCTATAATGTGGGACAAACATAATTTAGATGTAACTGTTGAAGTGGGAATTACTGCAGTCACTCATTGGCATTAAGTGTGTTTTTCAGATTGTGCTGTTTGTGTTCACTGGTGTTAATTGGTCCCAGAGTGATAATACTTATCAGCTTTAAAATCATACTGCATTTTTAGAAGGTTAACAGTCTTCATTTTGGTCGTGCACACAGGGAGTGCTGCAGGTTTTTCGGTGACGATGGCCTGACACCGAAGGTGTTTTTCACCAAGGTAGCTCCTTTTGGCCTGCTGTGGATCCTCACCAACTACCTGTACCTGCAGGCCCTCAGGAAGATCAACACAACAGATGTGTCAGCGCTATTCTGTTGTAACAAGGCCTTCGTCTTCCTGCTGTCATGGATCGTGCTCAGAGACCGCTTCATGGGGGTCAGGGTGAGTATATCTGCATGCCTGTGTTTTTTTTCTTCCAAGGGAAAATTATGAGTCTTTAGTTAAGATGTCTGACTCGAGCACAGGACACAGAAAGCAAGGATTTTCACACTGTCCCCTCTTGGCTTGTAAGTTTTATTTGCAGTAAACAAGCTAATAACCAAAAGCGTGTCTTTTGAATTAGTTTTTAGGCAACAGCTGTAACCACAACTCACCCCCCAGACAGCCAATGAATGATTTATAATTACATCATTGTAGGTAATCGACGAGCTGTGGGATGAGCACATCAATATATATATATATATATATATATCTCAGTATTGTATGTTGTAAAGCAGTTTTGCACTATCATCTGTCCCACCATCCTGTTTTTAGTGGAGTTGTTCTGTAAAACAGGGAATTAATAAACTGGAGTTTCTGTTCGATTTTTCATCAGTGGCCAGATACGTTAATGTTATAACATCTGCTCAGGCTTTCATTGGGTCTTTGTTGTCTATGAGAAAAAGTAGATCCATAACAAATGACAGCAAAAAGGAATAGAGGCACACTGAGTGTAAATGAAATGATTGTAAAGTCTAAATATCTTTGCTTTTCCGTGGGTGTGCATGGTGAGCTGCGACGAATGGCTTTAGTCGCTCGCTGATGCGGTTGTGAAGAATACTGCAAGCTGCTATCAGCCCGTTCTTCACTCCCACGTTTAGAACGGGCACTGCACTTGTATATTTTTTGGTGAGATGTTTGAGCGTCCCATTTATCTTGAATCTCACTGATTATGACGAAACTTATTTAAGATAAGAGCGTGGCCAATATTGGCCCCACAGGCGGACTGTCACACGTTGATTTATGTGATTTATAACTAGGTCCACCAAACATTTTATTTTTTTTCCTTCCTAGATTGAATCAGTTTGATTATGTTCAGATTCCCAAAGATACAAAAGTATCCTGTTCATCATGAGACACGAGACAAGATTGGGGGGGGGGCAAATTTTTCATTTTGTGTAGCAGGAATTTTTCTTTCTTCTCTCTTCCTTACAGGAATGTAAATGTCATCAGGGCTTATCTTGTAAACCGATGCACAAGTTTGGGTCCTGAACCCAAGTTTGATATGGACAGATTAAAAATTTATCTTTGTTTTTCTGTATTGTTTATTATATTTTGAATATTACAGTATAATCTTATGAAAGCTACTCTTTAACAAGGTTCAAGGTTCTTTATTTGTCACATGCATAGTTATACAAGTATAACACACAGTGAAATGTAACCTGACACGCTCCTGGACATGTGCAAAAATTGTGGCATGACATGACTCTACATGAGATGGCAACATACCTGTGATTAGTTTATGACTAGACCAAAAAGAAAATATGTATTTTCATCATCTCCATATTGGCATTTGAACCCATACATTACAAGAAAGCAGTAAATCCCTTGGAAAATCTAAGGACACTTTATGCATTGACTGTAGAGACTTCTCAGTCACAGTGGCCCACCCTAAAGCAGACCCTGATTTACTCTCCTTTTGGCTTTTATCAGGATCATACTTTCCAACTCTTACTAAACTTGGAACAGATGATTGACACTATAAACTTATCAGGAAAGTGTTTACTGAGGTTGTGATGTCATACATGTTTACTTTACAACCAGATTTTTTTTTGAAACCAGAGTTGCTGCCACCTACTGGCAGGTTTAAGGCAATCCTGCAGTTTTACCTTCTTAGAAGCTGCGCTCATCTCTAATACTGTCTTCTCTGGTCAAATGTGCGTTTAAGTTTTATACTAAACTCAGTTTTACACTTCATCAGCCATCATGACAAAAAAAAGTCTCTAATCTGCAAAGAAATGCTAATTTGTGATGACTTGCTTTGACTGAATTTCCATT